CAAGCAGCTCTTCTTTCTTTATATTTGCAATTATAGCACTGATGATTTAAACTGCAAGAGCCAATGAACCTAGGTTTTTATTCAAATGTACCCACTCCTGCAATGTATTCCTGCTAAAATTAGCAATCGATTCTTACAGTTCTCAAAAGTACCAAGTGTTTACGATTTTGTGGTCAATACGTACCAGATTTTTAGATGCCGTAATACTGAAACTTTGCATAATTGCAGGTTGATGTTTACGGAGAAAAGATTCCGTTGCTTCGTATTAGAAACCCGTGGGGCAACGCGCAAGAATGGAATGGAGATTGGTCAGATAATAGTCCATGCTGGGACGCTGTTTCCGCACAACAGAAAAATGAAATGAACTTGGTCTTGGCACATGATGGAGAATTTTGGTTCGGTTCATGTGTTTGTAACGATGGCTTACTTCTTTTTAGCTGGTGGCTTAAAATTCCTGGTTTGCCTTGAGAGGGTATTTACAATTTTTGTTAAGAATTCTTGTTCAGAAAAGATTTCCTTGTAACAGCTATTCTTTTGTGAAGTGCTTTTCGTGTCACTGGACTTTTCGCTACCCTCTTTTTATTTTAATTAACATGACTACCAATTTAGGATGACATATGACGACTTTATGCATTACTTTGATAAGCTGGAAATCTGTAACTTGGGTCCGGACGTTATGGATGATATTCGAGATATGACTGGTGTGTCGGTAGATCAGGCGGACTTCAAGAGATGGAATACGCGAACTCACTTGGGAACTTGGGATAGTAATACAGCCGGTGGATGTCGAAACTACTTAAGTTTGTCTTCCGTGCAGTCCTTTCCTATGAAAGTAGTATGGGACATAAGAGTTTATTTGAGTAAATAATAAAGTTAGCAGAAATTCACATAAGTCCAGTTTGTTGTCTTGTTGCTATTTATAAAGTGGGAGGCTGAAGCAGTTAATGATATGCCCAGTTTAGAAACTTAAAGCGAAAGTTCAGAGCAGAACTGTTGTTTTCATACTTCCGGTACATACGATGGTTCAGTATTGGTTATTTCGCCTAAGCTAAAACTTATTTCTTTCTTTTCGGAAGACTTTGTACTTGTGACTTGTTTTGGTTGTCCGACAAGATGCGAACCTCGTCAAGCAAAGCCGTTTGAAGCTATTTTAAACTATTCGTTGTTCTAGATTACTCGAGACACCTGAATTTTGACTATTTTAGATTCATTCGACAGAAATCCACAGTTTGGAATGACTATATCGAATCCTGATCCGGATGATGAAGATGGTCTTTGTACAGTCATTATTTCTGTATTGCAAATGTACCGACGCGAACTGAAGCCGAAGGGGTTGGATAATCTGGCAATTGGCTTTGCGGTTTACGCGGTTAGTATTAGTTTCTGGTGGTGGGTCAAAAAGACGTTACTGCGATGAAAGAAACAATAGTGACTTTCCAGTTTATACGTAAGTATATCATCAGATGATAGAATATTATAGGTTGATTCAATAACTGGGCACCTTGATAGGAGTTTCTTCGCTTCCACTGCTTCGACGGCTCGTAGTGCTGCATTCATCAACCTTCGTGAAGTTTGTGTTCTGCTATGACTTCTCATTCAAAACTATCAACGTTTGCCTTGGTGTCATTTACCCACTACTTTTAGGTGACCGGTAGATTCCGCTTACCGCCAGGAAGCTATGTGATAGTTCCGTCGACCTTTGACCCTGGAGAGGAAGGACAGTTTATGGTCCGAATCTTCACAAACGTTACCATTGATACTGAGTTAGTTTGCTCTTTCTTTTTTAGTGTTAAAAGTTCCATTTACTTCTGTCAAATAAATATTTTTTTGTGATTATTTTGTACATGTGTTGAGATAATAAGACATTAAACTTTTATTAGTATTTGACCAGTTTCCGTGTAACTTCATGGCTAAAATTGTTTTTAGTAAGAAATTTGAAAAGAGTAAGTTGTCTGACAGGCTCGTGTACTGCCGTTTACTCCTTTTTTTTTCTTTTACAGAGAACTTGGATGATTCGCAATACGAGATCTTGATTACGTTTCTCTGTGTTACTAACTTGATGTACATTCCTTTGCCAATGTTCTTCTAGATGCTTTGCTTTATTTGCGGTCGACCAGCTTAGTAAATAAATATTGTTTCGTACTTTCATGTTTCTTTTTCGTTTCTCTGTTTTTTTACCCAGTCTTTTGGATTGTTTGCCTGACATTTGGGAGTAATACGTAAACGCAAGAAGAAAATGTTTAATCTATTTTTAGTATGGCCTAAAAACTTACTGTGTAGAACTGATGTTTTATTGATATTTGGAGTGATTTCGACGAATGCTAAATGTTTTCATAAACTTTTTGCTTGTTAATATATTGCTTTTTTTGGTACTGCTCCTCAGTTTTTCTGGTCGTCCATTTGTCGCTCTTCATTGGCGACACATCTGATATGGTCATTTATCCCAAATGAAATTTTGAGGTGAAGCAAAGGAAAACAGAGGCACTTTATGGTGCTTCGGTCATTGCCGCGATGTGTTTTCAATGCAGCCAATCTGTGATTGAACCTAAATGAGTGTTTCAATTAAGACACAGGTGTCAGCGTATGATCGTTGCTCAAAACGGTAGAGTAAACTTGTAAACAAGAAAAAGCAAAAGTAAAAAGAAGCTGAAATGCAGCAGAAGAATGACGAATCAAAAAAAAAACATGAAGAAGGGAGTTGAAGTAGACAGATTTTGTCTGCGGTAGTCAAAGTATGATATCAGTTTGCGTAGATCGGGAGAGAAGAAGAACGATGGAAGAGTTCTGAATTAAAAAAAGAATCTTCAAATGCGGTCGTATCAACGGATCGAACAGTTTGATTAAATGGCTAAAAGGGGAAGAACTGTTAGAAGCGAACTGTACTAACTTGTTAAAGAAGGGGAACTCTTGATGGAGCAGTGCCTTTCTTTCCATCATCAATACTGTTTCTGCGAACATCTATTTTTGTGTTTCAAAATTAGAATAATTTCAATTTTGATCCAAATTGAAGAAGATGGATTTTATAATTGCAATTACACAACCGTTTTTGGTATTTTCAGTTTTTTAAGGACAATGAGGGTGCAGATTCCGAGAAACAAAAAAAAAAATTTTTCTAGTGTCATCTCATATTCTTTTTTTTCAAAATTTTTTTTGTTAGTTTATTTGTTTTTAACGGCAATGTTTCTAGTTTTTTGTTGGAAATAGTCAGTCGTTTCAGCAATGGCATTCATCTAATTTTGCACTGGTAGCAACTGATTATTCCTAAAATCCCGGCAGGGCTACTGAAAGTTGTTTGCTCAACATTATTCCTCGTTGTTGGTATCCATCTAGTTCACTGCAAATGACTGGCACATTTTTTCATACGGCATTTTTGTGTTTGCTGTGACGGTGAAGGAGTGGTAAATTTTTTTTATTTTCTGCGGAAGATACCTGAACTTTTGACAAGGATCACGAGAGAATTCTAGAAAGCTTATAAAAGAAGCAACTGCTCTTTTGTCTTTTTGTAGAATTAATAATAAATATTTGATATTCAAATGAATGTTTTTGTTTACTTGGTTCCGTCATGCAGCAGTTGTATTCTGATTGGCTTCCCAAATGCTGTAACTCCTTGCCGTGCTGTTTATTGTCTCCCTTTGACTGAAAGAAATTTGAAAAAATAAGGAGGATTTCTCAAAATTTTTTTGCTGTTGTATGCCATCCCATCTTTTATAGCGGAAAAGCTACGTATTCAAATTTTCCTCTTTTCTTCCTTTCCTTACTTTCACGCAATTATTCGGATAAGGAAACAACACTAGTGAGAAGATAAATGAAAAAACTAGGAAGATAAAGGGAACTGACTAACGGGCGAAGAAGCCCGGAAGACTGGGGCATGGGGAAAGGGAGAGGCAAAAGATTAATTGTATAACACTGAAGTGTTGCCTATCAACAGAAAGGTTAATAGGGTTTGTTTTGTTTGTTTGTTTTTCCTTTTTCTTTTTTTTTATTCTTTATTTTCTTTTTATTGGCGAATAAATTGGTGGGAAGGCGCCAGGAAAAAAACTGACTAATACCAACTATTGATGGGGAAAGTGCAGGAGGACGGGTAGGGGGAAAGTGGAGGGTGCAGTGAGGTGCAGAGATAATGGAAAAACTATCTTCAACGGTTTCATAACCCACCCTTCTACAGCGCTTTGGTATCTCGATTAGTAATGATGGTGTTGCCAGTGGTGGCGAGAAGAAGAGAGAATGATATACTTATTAAAGTGTTTAATTTCGGCAAAAAAAGTAGTCGATTTGATTTAGTTACAAATTTTATTAGTGGTTATCGATGTATAGAGTCACAGCCAGCAGAGGAAATGGTTAAAAATCTATTTCTTCTATCTTTTTGTACGGTTAGAAAGCAGTAGCGTAACTATAAAGTTCTGCTTCTGCTTCACTTTGTTCTCATTTCATCCCTCTCTGTTAGTGGAGATGATGTGCTGTCGTTTCAAAGTTGTTGCTTCTCTCAACAAATTCCTGTTGCCAACTGGTTCCGCTGCACAAAATTGGGTGAATCTTTGCAGCAATCTGTTGCGAGCTGATTAACTGTTTCCATGTACTTTTGTATGTTCGTTTGAGCAAAGATTTTTGATGTGCAAATTTGAAACTTTAATATTCGATATACTGGAAGGGACACAGGTTTTGAAACGGACAGAACAGTAAAGTTGTGTCTGTTTTTCATCATTCTGTTCTAGGAAGCTATATAATAATATCTTTTCCGTACGATGAAGAGCTGCAATTGACATTAAGACAGAAAAACAACTGTCATTTTATTTTTCCCTATATTATTTTTTAAGCTTTCGTTTACTCTTTTTCTGTTTTAAAGATTATCGTTGATTAGACCCAAATTGTCGTCCTTTTTGTTGCTGCTGTTGTTTGGATGGGAAATTTTTGTAGTCGATTCAGCTTCTTTCTGAGTTCGTTACGATCGTTTGTCTTTTTCGAAAACTAAAGTTTTTTTTTATTCTGTTTTCCATCTCAGTTCAAATGTTTTATAGGAACCATATCATTAACAGAAAGTATCTTCATAAATGATCAAAGAAAAACCGCTTTCAAAAGTTTTTATTTCTGTCTTTTCGTACGGTAATTTATTTGTTGTTTCAAAATGGATGCTCAGTGGAAAAATAAACTGAAGAAAAAAAGAAGGAGAAGGAAGAGAAGAAAAAGAAAAGAAAGCCGTAATGAAAAATAAATTTTTGCACAATAAAAACTTTTTCGTGAAACATTTATTATTATTTATTTCTTTTGCTTTTTAGAATTAAACATTTGACGAAAAAAAGAGTTTCCATTCGATCGTCTCCCCCTACGCGAAATGCCGCTGCTGCCTCTGTTGCTGCTGTTGTTGCCGTTACTGATGATGCTGCTGATCCTCTTGGTTGCATGATAAATGAAAGTAGTCTTTCGTCCTTCAAACAAGCCTCCTCACCGATTTATGCCACTAACTCGTTGTTGTCCTCTTTTGCCACGCTGAAAAGTGTCCATCTATCAATCTAATCCATTGTCATTCCTTATGCAACTTCTCTCTGCTTATTCAACCCATTTTGGCAACACATTTTACCTTATTAATTGTTGACTTTTATCCAGCCTGCAGTTAGTAGCTGAGAAACTTTTGGAAAGTAATGGAAGGTTTTTTATGACATTAAAGCAGTTCATCTTTCCTTTTTCTGTTTTCCTCCAATATTCATACAGGAACATTTGCCCTTTATTTTCTGATCTGAACTCATGATACAACATTTATACACAACGAGGGGCAGTTGCTGGCTCAGTACGGATATTTAGTGGCCGTGTGTTAAATAGGCGGGATAACTGATTACAAAAGCTGCATATTACAAGGGTGGCAATAGTCGGAAAGTGAGGTAAATTGAGGAGAATAATGAGGGACATCGGAGGGGACTCGTAAAAGGTAACAGCACATGTAGGGAGGTGGGAAAACTGGATGGGGAAGCTGGAGGGAAAGTGAAGGACTGATGAGAGAAGACGAGAGGAGAAGTAGATGAAAGAAATGTTGTAAAAAAAAAGATATAGTTGCAGACAATGGGAAACTGCTGTTTGCAGATAGATAAACAGTTGCTGTAGAGTGATGAGAATTTCACGGTCGCAGAGGCGATAGACAGCGTGGCTGTTAACTGGAGAACTGCAGAAAATCTACGTACAGAACGGTGGGTGTGATAAGGGCGGGGTAGAAAAAGTCGCTTGGAGAGTACTTTTAGAAGTAAAAGGTTTGTAAACCAAACAGTCGTCTGACATTTGACAACATCTAAGAGTGTGTGGCCGAAAGAGAAAGATGGAAAAAAAAAGAAACTGTTAACTGTGAGTGCAGAATATATGTATTGCGGTAGAAATGTGAAAAAAACGCAGACAGGCGATAGGAACAGCAAAGGCATCTGCAAATGTTAAGAAATACAGAGGGTTTTTTGCGGGTAGTAACGGGAAAAGAAAATATGAAGTCTTTTTGTAAAAGTGTTTTGGTCGGAATGATAAATTATAATTTGACGATGAAAGGCGATTTTGCCGCTGTGTGCAACAAAAAAAAATGTTCAATAGTTCTAATTTCAAATTGGCTTTTTCATTTTAATTTGCCAAAGCGCCTGTTTAGAAAATGTTCTTCTCAGTTTATTACCCCGTCACCCCTTCTCTTCCCAGTACCGTCCTAAAATCCCCAATGATGGTCCCCTCCCTCCGTCATCCTCTCTCCTTTCCCCTGTATCCCTCTACCATTTACTCGCCATTCACTTACTGTTCTCGTTTGCTTTTTTTTCTTCACGTTTATGTATGTTTTCTTTCTGGAACATAATTTTTTCAATTTTCATTTCGAT